AAAAAATTAAAGAATATTTTTGATGTTGAGTTCTGGAGATGCTGTTTCATATGATAATTTATATATATTCACATATATATCAAACAAGCTACCTTATAGAGCTATAAAGCTATTCGAAACAAATTCATTTCGTACGACTTTCAAAACTGTTTTAGTTATAGGTTTTACTACAATCATTTCAATTTGATATATTCTAAGGCTCTCATATAAGAATATCATCTGTTAGCATCTATTAGCATCTGCTGTCTTGCTTAAAATCCAGCGACACCACCAATTTTACGATAGTCCGAATTGATGGTAACGCTCTCGTTATCCTGGGCAATGCCACAAATGACGGAGCCACGATTGCGATAGCGTTCGCATTGATGTCCTTTGGCCAAGAGACTGTGCACGTGTGCCTGCAGCATGCCGTATTCATACTGCAGCACGTTGGGCAGCATCTGATGATGGAATCGGCTGGCATCGATGGCCGTCTTGATGCTCGCCCGTTGCCAAAGTATGCGAACTAGCAGAGGTACAAGAGCCGATATGATCTTTGTGCCACCAGCTGCGCCAACAACCAAACGAACTTGTCCGCTCGAACGCTCCGTAACAATGATCGGGCACATTGAGGACATGGGACGGGCTGCTGCTGTTATCATATTCGTGCCATCGATATACGGCAAATCGAAGTAGTTCTTTAGCTGCTTCATGGAGAAGTCCGACATGGCGTTGTTGAACAGCACGCCCGTGCGTTTGCCCATGCGCCCGCTGCCGAAACTGCCAAGGAGATATGAGTATGAGATAGTCTTCTAATTTAGATAGATCGGTATACTTACTAAAAGTTAATGGAACTGGTTACCGAAACAGCGTCATTATTGTGCAATATCGAAATATGCGAGGTGCCATGCTCATCACGTGGCTGTATATCGCCAGATGCTCCATAATGCTCCGAGTTGTTATAGGTTCTAGCATCATCTATCAGCTGGGCAATGCGGGCGGCAAACCTTGGGCTTGTCAGCTTCGCTAGCAGCTGGAAGGCAAATGTTAGATGAGTAATATTTTGCATAATTGAGAGACATATATGGTATGGATAATAGATATATGATAAGTTCTATATGAGAACAAAGATTTACTTATCTATATTATTTAATGTTATTCTCTATTTACCATATAGCTAGAAACTATTTTATTATACCATTGATAACTAAGAACTTCGACTATACTAATACTGGGCTATCTATACAAGCACTAAACCTTCAAGACTCGGCCACTTAGGCATCTGATCTATTTTGAACAGTGCCTATCAATAGACACACAAATATGTATTTTGTTAAGAAATGTTTTCACAAAGTTTCCTAGCTCATAAAATGAACAGAGATAGATGAAATACTATTGTGATCCCACAAGAAAGAAAGAGATAAAAGAATAGATCTATCTCTCTCTTATGCGTGAATCAGTAAGATATTACTCACCTCTTCATCAGCTTTATCGTCCAATCGCCAGCGCTGCACAAAGCCAAATTTAAAGGCCTCTACAATGCGATGGATTGCCAAAGCATCTAAATCGTCGCCTGCTGCAAAGTCCGCTCGATAGGCATGCAGTATGTTCATGATGAGGCCAAGGATGTGACCGCTGCCTGGTGGCGGCGTCAGGTGCAAATCATACTCATCCAAGGGTATGACTAACGAATCCCTTAGCTCAGCTTGGGCGTGCCTCAAGTCTTCCTTGGTTATGGCGCTGCCCATGTCCTGCAAGTCGGCGTGCAGCCTTGCCAGCAGCGTGCCTTTGTAGAGGCTGCGCGGTCCTGCTACAGATATTTGCGCATACGTATCGCACAGCTGCTTCGGCGGCTGGATGTGACGGCCAATGGGCCAGAACTGATTTGTCGCCGGATCCACAAACATTTGACGCAACAATGCGTTGCTTTTGATCATGTCCGCATTCAATATGAGCGCATCGTACTGATGCTTGTAGAGCGAATAACCGCTGTGGCATAGGGAGAGCGTTGGCCGAACCAATTCCGACCAGGACAGCTTGCCAAAACGCTCGTGGGCCAAGGCATAGCCCAACAGTTCGGTGGGCACAGCAATAGACCTGCCGGACTGCTTTAACTGCTGTTCGCTCACCATAGTCGTAAAGTTGTCCGCATGCAGAGAGCGCGGTGCCATCTCCCGACCTAGGATCGTATATGCCCGTCGCTCGCTGTGCATATAAATGTTCATAATCATGCCGCCGCCGAGGCCCATGCTTTGCATACCAATGAGTCCGTTGCAGAGCAAGGCAGCTAGTGCAGCATCCACCACAGAGCCTCCAAGTAGCAGTGCTTCTCTATTAAAGAATACATGAGCACGGGGAATTGTATAACTTATAGAGCCCCATACCTGGCCATCTGACTGCAGGCATCATTATCTGTGGCTATGCCAGCCCGCTTGAAGCGGTGCAGCGGGGAGCTGGAGGGCGGCAGAGGTTCCTCAGGGTCTGGTGGAGTTCTCGCTGCATTTCGTTTGCCTGGCATAGAAATGATTAAGTATTTGAATATTCATTTACTCAATATTTTCTATATTCACCGCTCCTTGCCGCAGGACTATATGCATATATCGCAATCAACACACAAACAAAGGCCAAGCCCAGCACAACTCGATTAAATATCCATTGCCAGTGCATAGCGCTTTAGTTTATTCATACTTTCATTCACATTTTATTGCAATTTGTTGCATTTTGTGTTTGTTCTCCACTCTACTCTAAATGTAAATAACACACTGTTAACCATCGACTTATCGATATTTGAAGTTAGTAATCACAAAAAAGTACTCATTCAATGAACAATCGATGCTTTTGGCGGTATTTTTTGAGATTCAAATTTAAATGAAGAAAATTAAAAAACTTAATTGCAAAACTAAAACTATGCGAAATGTATAGATGAACTGCATACAAAGAAAATTAAATAAATAAATTAAAATAATAAATATATTGCGAAAGTATTCTACAGTATAGGTAATAATATAGTTGATAGAA